AGTGGGTACACGGACTCAACTTCAGGAGGGAGGAAAGGGTTGGCACAGGAGAAGAAAGTAGTGGAACAGCCGTGCTTGGGCCACCCATACCCAGCCTGACCTGACTCGGGAAAGCACCTGAATAGCCCCCTGCCCTCCAACCTCTGGAGAGGTGCCTTCAGTCCTTGGGTCAACTTTTATTAAGCACCTGCTATGTGTCAAGCATGTGTTAAGCACTAAAGACATAGAAATGAAATAACCACCTGATCCACAGGTCAGGTGGTGAATTCACACTCGAAACATGATGCAATGTGGGTGCCAGTAGGGACATATGCAGAGGGTGTTTTGGGTGTGGAGAGGAGGGACCCCACCTGGCTTAGAGGGTCCCACCAGAGCAGAGTTTGAGACTGGCTTCCTGGGACACAGAGAATCTTAGATGAGTCTTAATGAGTAGGAGTAAGACAAGTGAGGGGCTGGGTATGGAAGGGGGTACTAGGCAGAGGGACAGCATGGGCAAAGGCCGGGAGTGAGATGCTGTGTGTGTGGGGGGGTGGGGGGTAGAATGGAGAGGGGGTGGGAGTAGGGTGAGTGGGGGCTGGTGATGGAGCCTATGAGAGCTACTGGAGACCCACGTTTGTGGCAAGGAGCTGGGGACTGGGGATGGGGGAGGAACTGGGCCAGCAGGGCAGGCTGGAAATAGCCTACCTCTCCTTAGCTGGTGGGCCTCAGGCCAGGTCACCACCAGCTGCCTTCCTCCCAGGAAAAGTGCAGAGGTGAGTTTATGCTCTATTGGGGGAGATGCTGCTGACAGTCATGGGGTACACACTGTATGCCAGGCAGGGCCTCTGCCAGAGGTTTCCACAGACATCCTCTCCCTTCCAACCCCAGTCCGGAGCACACCTCCCTTTTGGGGAGGAGAGGGATAAAAGCTCCTTCCCCAGGCTCCCGCTTTCTGTTGTCTCCCCACCTGTGGGAATGGGAAGATGAGACGCTGTCAGCATCCTTCAACCTACTTTGACCCTCCTCTGTTTGGGTGAAATTTGGGGTAACTTTGAGGAAGTGACATCTGAGCTGCCTCTTGCCACTCACCTGTGTGGGAAACCAGGGAAGAGGTTAAGGACAAAACAAAACTACAGGACAGATTTGCAGCCTATAATGTTATACAGCCAGTGAATAAACCATTTTGCCTTAAAAAAAATTTTTTTTTGGCAGCTGGCCTGCATGAGGATCCAAACTCTTGACCTTGATTTTGTAACATATTTTTGCATTTTGAAAGTAACTTGGGAATATGTGCCCAGTGTGTTATTGGTGGAAATGCACGAAGGAGATAAATTGTAACTCTGTCCTCTAGCTTTCTACATTTTCAGTGGATCTATAGCTATATTTAATAAAGAGACTGTAAGGAAATATTCCAGAAGAGGTTATCTTTGGGTGTGTGGTTATTTTTGGGTGTGTGTGTGTGTGTAGGATTATGGGTGGTTTTATTTTCTTTTTTACGTGTTCTATATTGTATAACTTTTCTGTAACGAGCACATTATAGGAAAGGTGGTGTAGCATAATTGTTATAAAAGCAGACTGCCTGGGTTTGAATCCTGGCTTCCCAATTTATACACCTTCATGACCTTGGGCAAGTCATTTCTCATCCCTCAGTTTCTTCATCTATACATCGGTCATAATAATACATATTCATAGGTTATGAGGATTAAATGAATTCATATTCAGATATGTACAATCATGTTTCAATAAAAAAATAAATTTTGCTCACAAAAAATATTCACATATGTTGTGAACATTCCATTTGCTGTAACAGTGGCTGGCACATAGTAGACATGATGTGTTTTTGTTAAATAAAAGCAAAATTACTTTTATAGAAAATGCAAGAAAAATTCATTAATTTAAAGATTGCCCGAGTAATACATGAAAGCAATATTTTTTTGTAAGGAATAATATGGAAACAAACTTTTTTTTAAAAGTAAAATAATCTTTGGAGACAGATTCATTTACAGCCTGTCCAGATTCACATTAAAAAGAAATTCGTTGAGTGCTAAAGCAGGAACAGAAGGACGTAAGTGTGTGGGTGGCATCCCAGGGACAGTGAGGGCAGGGGAGGGGTAGGGTTTACTGATGTGGATTATCCAACAGCACTGACTGGCCTTGTCACCCCCACAGATCCCCTTAGTGATATTCTACCCCATGAGGCACACTCTGAGCCATGACCAAAGAACCCTGGCATTTGGGTTTGCTGGCCGGCCTCACCCCGAGTGCACGCCTGTCTGCCATTTGGATTTTGGAAATACTGAACAGAGCTGAGGACCCCCAGGATTACCACTGTAGACCTCTAGGATCGGGGGACCACCCCCCAATGAGGAATGGCTGTTTAAGAAAGCAAATGGCAGCCCTGGTGTGTTTGGATGTTCTCCGCCAGGTTTCTCAGCACGCGCCACCCTGCAGGGCACCCTTCAGAGCCCTCAGGAGCTGGCCAGGGGCCTCGCTCCTTGATGGCTTCCCGCTGGGGAGGTTTCTGAGATCCACACAGCCCTGCTGTCTACTTGGGTCACACATTCACCTCCTCAGCATTGCTCAACCTCGGCCCAGGGATGAACACCACTCAGCCCTTCTCTGCAGAAAACTCCAGCCTCTGAGCTGGGAAAAATGAAGATGGGGGTGGGGAGGCGAAATTTAGCATTTGGGTGTGAAATATGGCGGGGGGAGGTTTCTATCTTGTTCCTTACTTATCCATGGGGGTAGAGTCTGTGGGGAACAAGTCATTGGAATTAGTCCTGAGTGCAGACTCCAGGGACAAAGGTGGCCCTGAGGTCACAGCCAGGACTTGCTCAGAAGAGTGAAAGGACGCTTGTGCCTGCCACAGCTCCAGAATGACCGACCGCCTCGAAGGAGAAACTTGGGTCATTAGTTTTTCTGGGAACAGGCCAGGCAGGTTTGGAATTGAGGAAGACCCCCATGGGGTGCTGTTTGGCCTGGTTCCGGACTGTGTTGCCCTGAGGAATTTTTTCTCCCATGACTTGTGTTGTTCCCTCTTCAGGGCCAATCATTAATTGTACTGAGAGCGCTTGCTTGAGAAGCCACAGGAACAAGTGGCTGGCTGAGGCTGGAATGGCTGAGGTGGCTTCACACTGGGCTGGAACTTTCTGCTTCCCCAGAGGGACTGAGTCCCCAGCTCTGGCCCTGCCGGACTTCCACACACCTTGCAGAGCAGGTCATAGGGCAGAGGCTGGATGGGGACAAAACCCATTTGTTGGCAGGCGGTGCTGTCCCCTGGGAGCTGAATGGGTGGGCCAATGGCTGGGGTGAGGGGAGCAGCTGGCTTTAAGGAGGGTGGAAGGTGGTTTGGATAGCTCCATACTCCGCCAGGCTATGAAACAGCAGTTGTGTGAACAGCTCTGCTCTGGGCAGTAGCGTGAGCAGCCGTGGCCCTGCCTGGTCCTAGGTCCTCAGCCTATCATTTTTGGATCTTAGATAGGCCTTGTTTCCTCCGTCTTAATCTCCCAGCCCCCAATTAAGCCACTAACTCAGTTACACCACTCCTACCCCAGGGGTGGTCACCCTGTCAGGTGCTATCTCTCAGTCTGGTCACCTGGGGGTGGGGGAGCCAGTGAGAAGCCACCTGGCCCAAGCCTTGGCCACTAGCAGGCGACAAGGCCTTTGGGAACAGGCCCTTGGTGCTGAGTGACCAAGACCTGTCTGGAGAACCAAGGCCAGGGGCCTCTGCTGGGCTGGGGGGGGGGGG